TGTTGTGGACAGCTGTGCTATCACCAGGCTTGCTGAGGCCTGCTACATGGACAATTGTGGGACGCTGAACGGTCTGCTCGCACGTTGAGAGACCGCTTTGCGTTCCATAGGGTTCCCCAGCCTGCATCTCACGATCTCCTTCACTGACCCTCACGGTCTCCGCCGGCGACGACGACTAAGCGATCAACACGGAGCACTTCATCTGCCACAGATGGGATACCTCCAGGAATGACTCTTGACAAACACTCTGAACATGCACCCTTCTCACCTCCTCCCCCTCAACCTTCTCCCTTAACCCGGTCGACGCAAACCACTTTGACGATGGATGAAGCGACACGCAACAAGCTGCTTAAGAGCTACAAGACTCAGGTAGCTTCGGCGTCATCCACTGTCTTTGCTACGCTCGCAGTGGTGAGTGCTACGCGCTACGCGTCAAGTGGTCGAGCAAGAGGAACTGACTCGCTGCTTGCAGACTCCCCTGGAAAACGTCAAAACCCGTATGCAGACGTAAGTAGGGTATTGCTTGCTACTGCTTCAGATTTACTGACTTTGACAGGCACAACTTTCAAAATGTAGCTCAGTGTATTCGCTACTTGTGGCGTACTGAAGGCCCGCGTGGTTACGTGGCTGGTAGGTTGACCTCGCCTAGCATTCTTACAGCGGATGTTAATGCAATGTTGAAATCCAGGCGCTCTGCCACCTCTTGCAAGCGTTACGGCGGTCAGAGTGATGAACTTCACCACCTATGCCTTTGCCAAAAATAGGGTCTCCGACTTTATCCAGAGAATAACCGGGGAGTCGCCTTTGGAAATCTACGACCAGGAAGGCAGCAGCCCCACTGTTTCTACTGTGGTTACCTTTACCGCTGCTGGTCTTTTTGCAGGACTCGTCAGTTCGCCGGTTGCTTGTAAGACGCGGTTTATACCCTACTCAGAAGTCTACTAACGAGAACAGGTCCCTTTGAGCTTGCGAAGAACGTAGTTCAGACCTCGGTCTTGATGTCCCATCGTTCCCAGGCCTCTAATAATGCGCCCAATGACCCTTCACTGCGTAACATGCCACGTCTTAGTACTACCGAAGCGTTCCGACAGATCTACAAGAGATATGGTTTCCGCGGACTGTACACCGGATTCCATCTTCATGCCCTGCGCGATACCGTCGGCACCGGCCTGTACTTTGGCGTGTATGAGACTGTCAAGCAGATTGCGGAAAGAGAAATGGGTAAGGGAACAGGAGCGCCCGCGATTGCTGGTGCGATCTGCAGCACCATGCCCTGGTTTTGTGTAAGTGTACCTTCTACCGACTGGGGGTGAAGAAGCTAACGAAATAGACCTACCCGCTTGACACCCGCAAGACTCGCGCTCAGAGCGTGCTGCTTGGCAAGTCCAAGGAAGTCGGAGAGGCGGCCTCGGCTATGGCGAAGTCCAGCATCTACAAGGGTCTGTCGATCATTTTGATCCGTACTGCTATTAACAACATGATTCTTCTGAGTATCTACGAATACATTAACAGAAGAATTGATAATCTCGACAATTAAATCAGGAGCAGGATTGATGAGCTGAATGATTAAATTCCTCAACAGCAAGACCGAGCTAAATGCTGAATACATCTACTGAGGTTTCGACTATCTGGAAGGTTAAATACATCCAGGAAGTATTTATGAGCTGGCTGATTGAATACATCCAAGAAGTGTTGACTATCTGGAAGGTTGAACCGTCTACAGAAGTATTGGTGACTGGTTGATTGAATACATCACAGCATAGCAGATGAGCTGGCTCATTGAACAGGATATGGTTGGGCATTGATGGATAGGAAGGATATTGCTCAACTGGAAGTAAATAGTACATACTAGCACAAAATACAAATTGATGATGTACATTGCTGCACTAGGTGTAAGTACGTGGTGTGTTGTGGCACAGCCTTAAGTGGGATGTAACGTACTTCTGCCTCAGGCACCCACAACGTCATGCGTTGCCCGGGTGGGGTTGGGCTTTTCCGTCAACAAAACTTCCGGAGATCTGGCTGCATGTCTATGCTCTCTCGACTGACACGATGGCATCGTATGTGCTGCTGCTACAGAATACATGATGAAGGCTGCTAACTCTCTCCAGTAATATCCTCCAGGTCCCGTTTCGGCGGTCGCACTCCGTCACGCTGTCGAATGCCATCACGCAATACATCTCCTCCAAATATGACCAACGCCCGGACATGTTCGCCGAGGATCTGTTGATCATCGAGCGACTGCGAAACGAAGCGATCAATGTCCAGGAGCCTCATGTCAGCGGGGTTAGTCGACTGGTCACCTATGCGGCGCAGCTGAAATGGCTGGGTGGGAAATTTCCGGTGGATGTGAGTAGATCGATGATGCAGAGGGGCAAGTTAACATGTGCAGGTTGGGGTGGAATTTCCGTGGTATCCTGCGTTTGGATTTAATACTTCTAGACCGAGTAGGTGATATCCATCCGGGATTGGGGTGGTGATGGTGGCTGACCGGTCTCAGTTTCGCAGAATAATATCCGCTTCGAGCTCGCGAACGTCATCTTCAACCTGGCTGCGCTGTACTCGCAGCTGGCGTTTTCCGTGAACCGCACAACATCGGATGGTCTCAAGCAGGCGTGCAATTACTTCTGCCAGGCGGCTGGAGTTCTGACTCACTTGCGGTCGGATATCCTTCCCGATCTGCGGACGTCGCCTCCCGAGGATATGGATGATATGACACTGCAGAGCTTGGAGCAGCTGCTTTTGGCACAGGCTCAGGAATGTTTCTGGCAGAAGGCCGTCAAGGACGGGCTGAAGGATGCGTCGATTGCTCGGTTGGCGGCTAAGGTCTCGGACTTTTATGCAGAGGCGGGAGATCATGCGGTCAAGTCGAATGCTATCAGTCCTGAGTGGATTCACCATATGACGGCTAAGCATCATCATTTTGCTGCTGCTGCGCAGTACCGGCAGTCTTTGGATTGCTTGGAGAAGCGCAAGTACGGTGAGGAGGTTGCTCGTCTGAGGGACAGCGAGGCGTGTGTCAATGAAGCGTTGAAGGAATCGCGCTGGATCAATCGGACTGTCTTGGGTGATCTCCAGGGTTTGAAGACTAGGGTGACTGAGGATTTGAAGCGCGCTGAGAAGGATAATGATATCATCTACCTCAATCCGGTGCCACCGAAGTCGGAGCTCAAGCTGATTGACCGGGCGTCCATGGTTGCCGCGAAGGCGCCGTCCCAGGTGACTGATGCTATCTCCATGTTGGGCGAGAACGGGCCTCTGGGACAGCCGCTGTTCTCTAAGCTGGTGCCGTATGCAGTGCACATTGCTGCTAGCATCTACTCGGATCGTCGGGATCGACTGATCAGTGAGAACATTATTGGGGAGTTGGAGAATATGACGGATAAGCTCAGAGAGTAAGTTGCCCTATCTCCCTATTCTATTTCCACGCAGGGCTAACCAGTTAGTCTCTTGTCTTCTTTGAATCTCCCAGGCTCGCTGCAGGCTCTGGAGAAGCCGCTTGGACTTCCCCCGACACTGGTTTCGCACGCAGAAGAGATGCGCCAGCAGGACGGACTGAACCGGTTGCGCAAGTCGCTTGAGGACACGGCAAAGGTCAAGGCCAACGACAGGGCCGTATACAACGAGGGCGTGGAGCTTCTGGCGGCGGAAAAAGCGGAAGATGATGCGTCGCGCCGGAAATTCGGCACCGATCGCTGGTCCCGAGCTTCGTCAGAGGAGGCTGCGCCGAAGTTGTACACGACGTCGCGCGAAATTGAGGGATACTTTACGTCGGCCCAGAGCAGTGATAACCTGGTTGAGCAGAAGCTGAAAGACTCCGCGGCAGTGTTCCGGGTGTTGACAGGCACGAACCGTGATCTGGAGATGTACGTCCCTAGTAGCCGGTGGGCTGCTCTGCCGCCAGAGGTCGAGCGCGAGGTGAGCCGACTGCGGGGATGTATGAGCGAAGTGAGCCGTCTGGAGAGCCGGCGAAAGCGGCAAGTACAGGCACTGAAGGATAAGGCGCGGGCGGACGACATCAGTAAGTGGCCTGCAATTGTAGTAGGACGAGCTAACAGAAGTAGGCCAAGCACTTATCAAAGAGACGGCACGGCTGGAGCGCGAGTTTCCTATGCAGGCGATCCAGGCCAGCCAGTTCGAGGATCTCTTCGAGGAGCAGCTGCATCTGTATGACACAGACCTGGACATGGTCACACGGGAGCAGCAAGACCAAGACGAGATCGCAACACGGGTGCAGGAAGCCAACCGAGCGTTTACACGGGCACATACCGGCGATGCGTCGATCAAGGAGCGCGAGCGGGCGTTGCAGGAGCTGGAGAACGGGTATTTGAAGTACAAGGAGATCTTGTCGAACATCGAAGTGGGCCGGAAGTTCTACAACGATCTGGCGAAGATCGTAGGACGGTTCCGCGACGACAGCAAGGCGTTTGTGCACAAGCGGCGAATGGAAGCCAGCCAGCTAGAGGGGTAAGCTTATACCAATTGACCTTGGAATGTAGCTAACTGGGATAGGGACATTTCGAGTGCTGCCGCCATGGCGTCGCTGAATATCTCGCGTCAGCCACAACTGCAGCCGCAACCGCAGCCGCAGCCGCAGCCATCTTATAACGCTCCGGCGCAGATTCAGCAGCCATCTTAGAATGCTCCGGCACAGGTTCAGCAACCGTCGTACAATGCAGCGCCGCAAGCAGCACCCAGACCCGAGCCCATGACGGCACCGCAGCCCACGCGGGCAAATGCGCGGCCACCGATGACGCCGGGGATCTGGTCACCGGAGATGGGGATACGGTTTGGGGGACAGTGGGATCCGAGCAAGGGAGTGAAGTTTTCATGACCTCCACTTAATGGTAAAGCATACACAGTACAGCATTGAATACATACATACATACATACATGTTCATATCTATATTACAGTGTTGATAGATCTGATCTATACTACTGCAGTGACATCACTACATGATTATATACACTCCTCAACTTGACTATATACATACATATCCTCAACCACTATATGTAATAGAAATAACCCTCCTCAACACCTCCCCGGCCAACCACGCCCCCTCCCTCGTCCCATCCCACAACCCCATCCCGATCCCGATCCCGGGGCCAACATCCCCAGCAAGTTCATTGAACCTTCGAATCCACCCTTCCCAGGTCTTCCTGGTAAGAAACCTTCCCCTAGCCCTATCCCCACTCCCATCTCCACCATCTGGTGGTGGTGATACAGCCAAAGGCGGAGAATTCGCCGCAGAGGTAGACGTAGAAGTAGATACAGACCCTGATTCGAATTCATCGAGGGTGAGGCCTGCTACTATGTAGTTATCATTCTCTTTCTGTTTCTCTTTCGCTTTCTCTTTCTCCTTTTCTTCTTTTGGGTTTTCTTCAGAAGATGGTGGATGGTGAGGAGGGGAAGGAAGAGAAGGAGTACGAATCCCACGTCTCCGCCAGAGATGTTCACCGTAGAGAAGGGCGAAGGTTGTTGCTGTGAGGATTTGGGTGTTGTTTTGTAGATGATCATTCTTATCATGCTGCTGATGATGATTGTGAGGTTGTTGATGATTGTGAGGTTGTTGATGATTGTGAGGTTGTTGTTGATGTTGATGATGTGGAAGATTATCAAGTACCCGAAGACACGAAACCGCAAGATCATCGATCCATGATCCGACCCCGTCGCTTTCATCCTCCTCCCCATTCCCACCCTCATTATGATTATCATGATGATCGAATCCCCAATCATATTCATCAAACCCATACGCATAATTATCCGAATCACTAGGGGAATGTAATACCCCTTCTCTAGCGAGAAATGCGAGGAATGTGATGAAGTTGAGCCATGCTTGGTGGAGAATGGCTTGATCTTTCGGGTGCCATTTTTGGTGGTGTTGATGTGTATGTGTATGTGGAAAAGGGTGCAGCTGCATCCCGAGCACATCTCCAAAATCAGTGAATATTGATCCTACCACGTCTCGGAAATGTGGTAGGTAGGCCCATACTAGACTCTTGGTTTTTGTGGGTCGGATTGTTGATTCGGATGCTGAGGAGGGGAGTTTGGGCGGTTGGGGTCTGATTGTTTCTTGGGGTTGAGGTTGAGGTTGATTTTGATTTTGATTTTGGGGTGTGTTGGTGTTGGTGTTCTTCCCTGGTTCTGATGGTATAGGAGGTGGTGGTTGTGGAACAGGCGTAGCCACAGAATCATGTAAATGGCGAATATAATGCGACCCGCCCACCGTTCCATCGAGATATACACCTAATGACGGGTGGTATAGTTCTTCTTCTTCAGTACTTTCTCCTTCATCTTCTCCTCCTCCATGCTCTTCATTCCCATTCCCATTCTCATTCTTCTCAGTGATATCCCCATTAACACCACCACCACCATGAGAACTATACCTCTCCCTCCCACCACCTCTCTGCGAAGCAGAATAAAAAGAATAAGAATACCTCGACTTCGTCCTCGCACGAACATACACATGCACATCCGGCATATTCTTTATCGCATGCATCAAGTCAATCAGTTTCTTCTGCGACGGGGTGGGTGTTTGATGATGGGAGATATCTGTATCGATAGTCTCTTTCTTAATCATCTTTTCTCCCGGCTTGTCACCATGACCATTGGACGTGATACTTCTATCAGCAGTAGTAGCTGATGACACCATGATATTCGTGCAGGGTAGACATCTCCCCGCGTGCAGAATACTGGCCCATAGGTCGTGGACGCATTCATCTATATTTATTATATTAGCATCATGATCATGGTGTGTATATATTAAGTATATTTATGATATGAAAGAATAATAGGGTGGGGGTTCACCTATTCCCTCCCCCCTCTTCTCCACAAACGCACTGATCTCTCCTACAGCCGTCACTACCGAGATCTCCTCCGCCAGGTACAGTTGGATAATGCCCGTGAAAGGATACAGGGATGGAGTGCCTTGGGTCCAGTTGTGGAGGGTGGCGAGGGTGTCGATTTTATGGTCCATCCCGTTCCCTCTTCCTCTCTCTCTCTCTCGCTCTCTACCATGTACTTTATGGTAGTGGGGAGGACATGGTGTATTATTATGTGTCTGTTTTTAGTAGTTGGAGTTGTTGTATCATGTGAACTTGTGTAGCAAAAGTTAGATGGGAGGGTCTGTCATGATGTCATGTCATGTGATCGTTATGGCTTAACTATATACTAGTATGCTAGCTACTTGTATGTACTATGCTGGCTGGCTGGTGTTGATTATAATGTACAGGGTATCATCGCTCCGTATTTACTTATCCCCAAGGTTTTACTTATCCCTAAGGTTCACTTCCTGGCTCGTATTCGGCTTACGGATTCTCCACCTCCACCTCAGGCATCACCATATCTAGCCCCTCTCCGAGGAAAAAGTCCAGCTCGCTGGGTCCGCCTTGCGAATGTTCGTTCTCTGCTAGCTGCTCCAGCAGACTCAGAAACGGGTCTTTTTCGCCTTCGCCTGTGCCTGTTGCAGCTCCTGCTGCCCCCGTTGCAGTGGCGCTGGAGCTGCCCTGTGACGGGGCGTCCGGCGTCAGTGCCGGTCCGCCCGGCGTGGCTTCGAACGGAAACGTCGCGTATTGGGGCTGTGCGGGCGGTGTCGGTGCAGTGAATGGGTCGGAGAGGAATGGTGCAGGGGAGTTGCTCACTCCTGGTGAGAAGCCTAGACTGCTCTCTGGTAGGGCGAGCTCGGGTTGTGGCCATGTCGGAGATGGTTGGAAGCTGATGGATCCTCGGCCTTGGGAAGGTAGAGTCGATGCGGGCGGGTACATAAGTCTGTTGAAATCGGGTCGGTCAAGTGGTAATCTACACAAGTCAGCATCATAAGTTAAATGAAAGGTGGTGGCTTACTCGTCTCCATCCACTAATCGCAAATGCGCCCCATCGACGGCTAGCCCCGGATACCGGTCCAGGAAGTCCTCGAGATGGAACACCGGGGCAAACCGCACCGGTCGCGCTGCCATTGTCCGCACCAGCTCGGCATGGCATCCTGAAATACTTTGCAGCATCTCCCGCTGGTGCTGCACCCCCGCCCAGTACTGCCGTAGCCACGACAGCTGGTGCATCTCGCGCGCGAGAAAGTCTGCGCTCGACGCAAACACTTCTCCCTCGCGCCCGTGGTAGTGGACTCCGTGTACGTGTACGGTGCCAGCCGTGCACACACAGTATGCCACCAGGGCGGGCCACTCGATGCGTGGCGCGTGTCGGGCCAGCTCCACCAGCTCGGCGATGGCGTTGGCATGCGAGAAACAGAGCGTTGTCGCCTCGATCTGCCACGACTGATGCTGTCCGGTGCCGCGTAACTCGACCAGGTCGATGGGAAGGAAGGGCCGATAGAGTAGACAGTGCACGAGGTGGTAAATGAGCTTGCTCAAAAGCAGCAGCGTGCTCTCCGGATGGCCGAACAGCGTCTCGATCGATGCGAACAAATCCTGTGTGCCGGCCGCCCAGAGATCGAGTTCCTGGCGGATCTTGGATAGGTTGGAGAGGGCGTGCCAGGGAAAATGCGAATCGCCTTTGACGCCTCCCGCGGCGAGGTAGCGGTGCGTGACGCCCAGAATGCGCGTAATGTCGACCAAAAGAGCCGGGCCACCAGGGCCTTTGCGACGGTCCGGAGAGTAATGGATATTAGGGCCAACCGGGTTAAACAATTCGCCCGTTTCAGACCCGCTGCCCGGAAGACGCAGGACGATGGAATGGTCGGCAATAAGACACGGTCGCTTGGAGCCACAGGTGAGAAAGCGATCCATCACGTAGACGGTCCAGAACAGACGCCGTCGCATCTCGCGTTCTGCGGCAGGCAGCGCTGCGGGTGCTTCGCGATACAAATCCAGCGCCAGTGTCATGGACACCGCATTAGCTGGGCAGTCAGTACCAGTCTGCGTCAGTTGGCGTCGCACATACCTAATACCATGTAGGCTGTTTTGCCACACCCGTAGGCGAAAAAGGTATGACAGAGCAATAGCAGAGACTGGGTCCCTTCGATGGACGGGTTATCAATATCGACGAGCCGCCTTGCCTGACGAGCATACTCCAAACTGCCTTGCGGTGGATTCGGCGTAGTATATCTACAACATCAGCCAAATTCTCACGACCGAGGAAACAATAATCACTACCTTAGGGTTAGGGCATAAATCGCCATAGAGAGATGCACTGGTAATTGTCCATGCTGATGCCGTTGACGTGTGGCCGTTTCATCCAGAATCCAATACGGCTTCCCATGCAGCCTAGCAAAGTAGGTGTCTAGCATGGCATCGGGCAGCCGGTGTTGCTGCGGCTGCGATTGCGGGGGTGGGGGAAAGCCATGAGGCGCCGGGGGAAAGTGGAATGGCGTCGAGGCGGACGGCAACAGTTGCTGGTCCAAGGATTTGACGGGAGAGGTAGCCGAGGTAGGGGAAATCGGCGAGTCTTCCTGGAGGCGCTTTTCCAGCCCGTCAACACGTTTTAACAAGGCCTCCAGGACATCGGTTTTGGGTCCCCGCTTTTTAGGAACGGCGTCTACCAGAATGAGTAGAGTTCGGATTAACGTGGCAGGCAGAGGATCAGACCATAGATGCATGGACATTGGAAGACCTTGCAGGCCTCGCAGCTGGGACGTAGACGATTACATTTGATCTGGCAATTTTTGTCAGATCAAGATGATGATGATCTCACGAAAGATAATAATCTGAGTACTACCTTTCGCTTTCTGCAGGACTTGCAGTTCATTGATTCCCGGGGTTCGGCATGGACGCGACGGGGAGTGAGACGGTCGATGCTGACCTGGGGGCGGGACATGGCATTGCCTGTGCATAGGATAGATGGAGAGGGTGAAGAGGATGGCGTGGGAGTTGAAGTTGTTGTAGTTGAGGAGTGGTTGTGGGGAGGAGAGTAAAGGATGAAATAGTCAAGGAAGAAGAAGCCGAAGCAGAAGAAGAGGAAGGGAGAGAGAAAGTGAGGGAAAAGAAGAAAAGCGAAGTGACCCCGGATTTAAAACCAAAAGCAAACGTGGAGAAGCCGGTGGACTAAGATGGATGTGGTTAGACACTGCGAATGCGGGGAGTTTCTCTTTTCTTGCATCAGTTGAGTTACTACTACTTACTGGTCATGTTAAGTGGTTGGTGAAATGTTAAATTCATGCATGAAGCACCTGAACTCTGTCGGTTAAATATTCCTCGGGATTTTCCCGCTTCCAGCACGGATTCTCGTCCGCAAATCCAGCACTTCTTTCCAAGGCCATCATCACCATCCAAAATAGTGCCAGAATATATGGTGAACTGCTGAACATCTTGTCAGAAACTGTCGATCGCAATCTATCTCTCTGCAGACCTTTCCAGTCTAGTAAGAGAAGCTATTCTGCAGCCGGCATATGCCCCGGCCCGGCACTCTTAGTATTTAATTTATTTCACTTGCCGTGATTGCTTTTAATATCCATCGTCTGTTGTAGGATGATCACACTGCATTCATCACACCATTACAAAGCAGTCGCAGCACCAATACCCCTACTCAGAGTGGATACAGTTCATTCATTTATCATACCGATGTACTCCAATTCTATATAAGAATATTCAAAACACCCGTCCCGATGCCATACGTACAAAATCAAACGGTACATTCTGTCCCACCAGCAGTCGCAGCGTCTCCACCGTCGTCCATGCATCAACATCTTCAATCCCATACGCCGTCCAGCCGGCTCGCACGGCGACCCCCACCGGATCTCCCGTGCGCTCCCCCCTTGTCAAGTCCAGGTACACTTTCCCCCGAGTCGACGGCGGCGATGTGCGTCCACTCGTCCGGTAGTGCCGCAGCAACGGCTGCACCAGCAGCGACTTCTCTGGTGGCAGCGCCGATACCATCACGAACGGCTGCTCCACCATCTTCACCGATTGGATCGACGTAAACGGCTCCAGTCCCTCCGCCAGCGGGCCGCGCGCCCGGAACCCGACCGTGTGGATCGCGCCCACTCCCAGACTGCGCAACGCAAAGATCGTCGCCGACGCTTCGCTCTCGCTCCCCGCTAAGATGATAGCTGCTCGTCCCCGGTACGCTGACGGCACATAGTCCCGCGTCAGCGTCGCCCGGATTCCCTTCCATGTTGCATTCTCTCCCATCAACTGCTGTTGCGGCGGTGCTGGCTGCTGTGGCCGGCCAGAGCCCCGCATGGCTACAATCGTATCCACCAGTCCGATCGCTTGCGCTGCTTCGCTGATGGCCGGGATGCTACTCGTCCCACTGGCGATCGGCGGGTGAACGGACGCTCCCCCAAAGCTCGGCTGCGTGATCACCCGCTCTATTGAGCCCGTAGGACCCCGGTCAATCGAAGTCAGTGTGTGCGGTAGACTGAGCTCATTGAAGCATTTCTCCATAAACATCGACTGCGGCGTGGATCGGAAGGACCCAATCGCGTACAGATCCCGTTTTGGAAGCTGTCCCATGATGTGGAGGGCCTCGTTGATCTCGGCGGCGGTCAGCTGGCCGGGCGCGGCAATCATCGGCAGCAGCGGATGCGTGATAGGCGAAAACACCGTGTTGAGCGCACGCGAAAGCTGCCCGAGTTGGCCCATGTTGACTGCCGAAAGAAGTGGGTAGGGCCCGTAGGTCCCCTTGATCGTCGACCGGAAATACTCCAGTTCATAGTTGGCCTCGATCGTAGTCACCATGGCAATCATCTTGACAATATCCGCGTACTTGGCGCTCTCCGCAAAGATCCGGGGTGCCTCTGGAGACGTCCACTTCCACGTCCCGGAAAAATCGTGGAACGCAGACATGATGATGCTATTCCCTTTGACCTCCGACAACCGTCTCCGGATGTCTTCGGGCAGCCACAGCTCCACATCGATGTACTCCACTCCCCACTGAATCGCCCGCCGCAGATACTTGTAGAAGAGCATCGGGTCATCCATTGGGAATTTGCCATTCTCCTTGGTGCATCGAGTGGTAAAAATAATGGGCAACTCCGTATGCTGCCGAAGCAACATCAGCTGCTGCCCTACGTAGCGAAGGCTCGGCACCGATACCTCTGCCCCCTGCGGTGGTTCAGGATCAACCAGCAGATCCACGCGAATTTCGACGGCATCCGACCCCACAGACAGTATATCGAGGTTTGGCAGGGCCGCATGCACATCCGGGAATGTCGTGGAGATGAAGTTGGTCCGGTTCTTGGTTTTCAGGTCCTCATGCGGCCGAGTCTGGCCTAGAATCAGCGACAAGAAGCGAGTCAGGTCGCGACGAAAGAAGGGACTGCGCAGAGAGTAGAGGAACTCATAATGGCAGCGCTCGGTTAGTGCGTCATCTGGAAACGATCCATCGTCGACACAATGCGTATTGACCAGAATACAGGACGCCGGGTCATCCACTTGCAAGCTTGCAATCGAATCTTCCGTGGCGAGAAACCCTACGACGACGGCGTTGCTGCCTGGGCCAAACGTGGACAGTGAGGTTTCGGTAGTCCATGGCTTGCCGAGGATATCCGCAACCACTTGAACGATGGCCTCCTGCCCCGGACTGTAGACTGTGACGACCGTCCGTGCAGGCTCCGGGGGCACGGTAAGCGACGAAAAAGCAGAAGATGTGGTAGAGCCTTTGAGAGCCGTGAGGGATGAAGTAGCGGCATCAGCCAAGAGTGTCATCCCCATGGGCTGATGAAGGGCTGTCTGCATCATCTCATTGCATATGCAGTATACTGCTCCTTCTCATACTTGGATGCGACCGTTGGATGTCGAAAAAAGATACGTCACGTTGACTCTCCCGTTGATCGCGGAGAAGAGATCACGGAGCAAAATCAACAGCGGACGTAGTAGTATATAACAGTAAGAGCAGTAGCAGTAGCAGTGGCAGCAGTAGTAAGTCAAGACCGGTTATAGATGTAGTATGTATGTACTGTATGTGGCATTGATGGACCCCAACCAAACTCGGGAAAGTGATATCTGCACCAGAGCCGAGTACACCGACAGACAACCCCAAGCCCAAGAAAGACAAGGAGGGAGAGTCAAGTACTACTAAGAACGGAGCGCCGGCGGAAAGACAGACAGCGTCGGGGCTTAGCGTTTAATAGCCGGAAAGTCGGAGTCAAAATGCAGCAGAGGGTTTAGGGGCTTCACGCCGATCAACAGAGTTTCAAGACAGTGTGGAAGAGGGGGGAAGCAGGAGACAATGTAGAGAAGATCTGGAGAGAAGGAACGACATCTGCTCGGGAAGAGATGAGAAGGGATTCAGCCGATAAAGGGAGCAGATCGAGATGAGGGAGAGAGCGGGTAGAGAGCAGAGACTTGGAGAATTGGAGCTGGAGACTAGCAGTCAAGATGGCATGGATCATTGGCGATGGAGAAAAGAATCGAGGAATTTCCCCGGAATCCCAACTCCGCCTACCGGGGGGGCGGAGGCCATTTCTCCGCCAATCACGGGTGGGACTCGTCCTCTCCCGTTTTCCCCAGCCTCAAGGGAGTTCACCTGATACTTGCTAGTAGTATTCTTCCGACAAACAATAAATCCTACTCCATGTATCACTACGGAGTAAGTAAATACTACTGTACGTACTCTTCTATCTCGTTTCTACTTCCTGGGCAGGGTCTGGTAGACAAGATTCTAGATTAACTTCAATTGCACTCCATCCACATCCATTTACATCAAACCAACAATATCTCCACGCTGTCGATCGGTTTCCTCACCCCAGATCCAGGCAGCATCCAAGCATCCCAGCATCTCCATCTATTGGACACGGTCGCGTCTATCAGGATGATCTGTCTCACTAGCCATCACCCCTCAAGCTCCCATGATACGAGGAAAAAACCCCTCCCATAGCGTTATCTACACCCCTTCTTGTTGGTTCGGACATGCCCACCTGCCGCAGTTCCCTGGCCGGGGAGTAACCCGGCGTCGTACCCCGTAGGCCAATTGACGTTGCATCGTTCATAAAACCTGGCCGCCATCTCCACCTTCCTGCTGCATCGTAGTTGACCTCAGTCCCCGGATGCTCCGGCCAGCTGGCCTGGACAATCAGCCTTACAGCCAGGGCCGACGCCCATATTCTACAAAGTACTTCATCAAGGCAATGCATATCGGTGTACCACAGGTGGCAAGTGATCAATTGGTGCAGAAGAAACCTTATGTAACATGACGGCTGAATCCACCAATAGTCCAGAAAGGCACTCGAATAGATTAAAAGAAATACCAGCCAATCAAAAGGGGGTATTGGAAAGAAACAAAAACCAAGATGCTCTCGAAAAAGACAACAAAGAAGTTCGAATAATGACACCAGGTAAGAAATGCATACCCGTTCCAGCATCGGTGGATGCTCGTTCATGTTCAGGCAATTGGGTTCAGCGCAGCATATGTATGGGGGAGGTATGTGGTAGTTATGTGTACATGGATGCATATGATGTATGTACTCCGTGACTGCAAAGCCAGGTGAGACTGGCAAGCCAGACAATCATTATTATGCTCGTCGCAAACTGAGGTCGTCATGGTGTATCAAATAACCCCGGCCGATCATGCCTCAGGATGAGCGGCCCATCCACGTGAAGCTATAGATCACCCGAGGCCTTCAATCCATGACCTTCAGTCAAACGTTTGATTTTTAGTAAGCAAAAAACCTGGGTTGCAGACCAGATGCTGCAATCCAGGGGTTATGTTGCGCCGGGATCTGAGGCACGGTGCGACAAGTGTTTCAAACACGGTCGCGGGCCACTCGTAAGTGATTCTTGATAATAGTAACCCACCGCACGTATCCACATGTCTCTACTCGCATGCAACAGCAATAGGTCCGGACCAAGAGATTCGACATGAGATACGTGGCGGTCTGGTGTCACACGGGGCCGTGCCATATCCAATGGTGATCTTTCGGAATGTGCACTCCACCAATGTGATGCTCCCTCCTTAAGGGGGTGATATGGCAAGCCCATTCATGAGCTTGGGAAGCGGCTTTCTGCGTGCAGTATTTGCCGTCTTCGAGACCCGAGGCGCCCCATGGATCATGCGGGGTTCCTTCATCAGACTGTTATCGAGCTTCGCCGGTGCTGTCATTTGATGCTTTGGTTAGCTCGAGACACAAGAGGCAAAGGACGGGTCACAAACCTCGTGAGACTAGCCGGCTATAGTCCCCGGACATGGTGTTCTGGCTCCTACTACCCCCTCCAAAGGATGTGGCGCTCGCGGTTCTCCAGAGGTGGTTTGACGTGTCAGATAGGAAATCGGTCATACTACGACCGGAGAAAATAGAGGATCGGCCCCGATTGCGCTTGGACAGAATGATCTCATCAAATAGGGTCATCCGAGGGTCTCGCGACTTGGGATTCGCTCTCTCCCGTTCGCTGATGAACTCGTTAAAGCCTAGTGACACGTCAGCAGTTGCGACCATCAGCTCGTAAGCCACTGTGTCTTACCTTGTGTCTGTTGCAGGACAGCAATATATTCCGCATGCTCCCCGGGCAGGCTCTTCATGAAGGCTTCCATGTTGAAGTTGTATGTCAACCCAGCTTTCTTTTTGTCACCAGTGGCGGGCTGAAGGAACTTCTTGTATGTGTAGAACAGGCTGGCAAAGCATCGGACAAACGCAGCGCGAACTTGCTCGGGGTGGAAGGCGGCCGGACACACAAGGCATATCTGGAGGGCGCACCGGTTGTGCACCACTGTCTTACAGGCGGTACACTTGTACATGTTTTCTTCTGCCTGGTCATCGCAAATTGCACAGGTGGCCTTGTCGTCCCACGGCTGTACTTGCAAGCAATGTCCCTCCACCCAGCAGGTACCCTCTGCGTTGTGAATGGGCTGCGCGGAGGCCTGGGGCACTATCGTCGACGCAGCGACTGTGGACTGTGCATACACCGAAGGTGCGTAAGTGGAACCCGGGTTATAGTCGGTGTTCAACGTGGTTACAGACAGATTGGGTGCGTGGCCGAGGAAGGGAGCACTCGGCCGGCGTGGAACACCGGTACGCATGTCCATCCCGAATGAGGAGCTACGCCGAGATGCTGCATCAAAGTGGCCGGAACGTTTCTCGCGCAGCGATGCCTGCAATGTCGTACCGGAATCAGCACGGGAGCCGGAGACCGACGGGAAATGGCCGGACGTGGGCGAGATGTCTCTGGGAGACGGCGGGGAGCCAGTCTTATGCGTGGAGCCAGTTCCCGGTCGGTCTAGACCCTTGGACGAATACCCCCTTGAAGCAGCCTGCTCATAGCGAGCATGCAGGTAGGCGTTGAAGATGAGTGGGGGCTGGGTATTTGGGGTTACAGAAGTGGCCCCGAAAGCGCTCGAGTTGAGACTGACGTACTTCGCCAACTGAGTAGACTGAGCCTTGGACGAGAAAATAGAGGAATTCTCCGACATGAATGAATCGAAGGGGTATGTTTCCACGGCATATGCCGGTGGCCCAGTGGGTACTCCGCACCGACTGTGATGAGGAGCAGCCAGCTGGAGCAAGGAAAGTAGCTTTCTGCGCTGATGACGAGGGAGAGGAGTTGGTTGAACAGTGCTTTCGATAAGGTCGGCATCCAGGTCGACCAACACAAAGTCATCTGACGGAAGCTCGACCTTCTCATAACGACGCTCAATACCTACAATGTAGGGACAAGGGGCTTCCAGAGCCTGGATGAGTCGTGCGGGCAGGATAGGGATAAGCACACCGGCCCACTGCAGTGGGAACAACAGGTCAACGATGGCCTTGGTCGCCAGGTACAGCATCGATGTGTGGGATGACAAGAGAATAATGCGCGACTCCGTGAGAGCGTATTCGAACAAGATCATGATGTTCTGTAACGACAGGGCCCGGAAGAGCGCATAGAGGTCGGTGTTCCGAGAGCCCGGCAGCTCATTGGCGGCCTCCTTGCGAGCAAAAAGACGCAGCTCACGCACCGCAAGCTCCACCTGCGTCTTGGACGAGTTGGGACTGAATGCCTCGGTACACAAGTTCATCACATATCGCTCCAGGGGTTGCCAGATGCCCATGCGTGGGGAGCTTGGGGGAATCCGCTGGAGGCTGCCGTCCGTCATTGGAACAACAACAGCCTTCAGCCATTCCTTCCAGAAGCTGGTCATATTTTCCTCTCGGCCCAGGATACCGTAGGCGCGGGGAATCCAGAATCCAGTATCCCCATCTGTCAAACCCTCGATCTTCGACGCTGCACCGTGACGGACTGGCCGCAAGAGATCAGTCATCAAGGTGATCTTCTCTTCTACGGCACTGATCTCATCTTCCAGCTGCTCTCGCGACTCTGACCCTGAAGGCACGGTGGGTAGCTGAGCGAGAAGCCTAGAAAGTTTAGCTCGCTCACTTGCCAGCCTCTCACCCAGACTTGCCGCCAACTCCCTCTCTTCATCGGTCATGTTGTCTTTCCGCCACTCCTCGCAACGCTTCTCAAGTTCTTCGGCCGCTCGCTGGTTGAGCGGGATCCAGATGATGAGACAGATGGCGTGCAAGCGTGAGCCGTTATCAGTAGTCATAACGAAGCCGTGCCAAGTGGATCGCGGCCTTTGGTCCGACGAGACAATGTTGATGTCGTTCGGAAAAGCAAACATGGGTACATAGTCCGGGAAATTTCCTCGCAGCTTCAGTTCGTCGGACATGCCCTTTGTCGGATACCGGTCGAGCAGGACGGGCTCGAACCTCCGCTTTAGGGGGTGCATGGTGGGGGAGATTTCGAGCGGTTGCGGGACAGGTATCACGGAGTTGTAGTTACTCAAACGTCGCGAGGTACGGATAGATGCTGTAAATGTCCGCCGTTAGCCATCTATATTCTATACTCCCTATTGTCGGCCTCCTCCTTCATTTACCCCACCAGGATCTTTACTCACCTTGACGAGCAATCGACGGTTGCCTCTTCATACTGTTCATATCGCGGAATGCCATGTGTCGCCGCACACTACCTATGCTAGACCGGAGCAGGCCCGCAGGCTGTGGGGTCTCCTCGGAGACGATCTTCTGGGTGCGTAATCTGGATCTGGGACGAGTCGAGGGGGTGATTGCGCCCGCGCTGACATTGAGATCCGACAGAAACGATTCCCTCTCCGACGCGAACTTGAACAGCGCTTTGTCAAAGTCGAAGTCTTCGAGAAAGGAGGAGCCCCGGGGAGAAGGGGCACCCTTGATTGTCATACTGCTGCGGTTGCTGTGGGTGCCATTCTCGTTGGGTTCGGGATCGACCGAGCGCATGGAGAAGCGCTGGAAGGAGGTACGGTTGCCCGCCATGGAGATGGGACGGGAGAGACTGTCCAGATGGGAATCCTCCTCGGCATCGGCATCTTCCTCAATGGTATCTGTGACGGCGGGGCCCGGCGAAGTGGCATTGTTGGCACGGTACTCATCCCCTAATTTGCGATAGGTTTCCAAGACCTCTGTACCATCGACACCAGCAATCCAGAAGTAGTCGGCGAGCGGGGTGGTGGATGCTTCGGGCGGGGAAGAGGAGGAAGAGGAGGAAAAAGGCATCTCGTCGAATCGTCGCTGAGAGATCGCAGGGTTGTACTCATCAATCGTCACAATTCGTCGTGGTCGTCACAGCATGGAGTAAATGCAATTCCTAGATGTTCTGAACTTCCCAGGAACATCAACAGTGAGGAGGGAGGGGGAGAGAATTTTCAGAAATTAGGGGGGGTTGTTGCAGAATCACGGGCGGGTGGTGAAGACAGTAGTAGTAGTATTAGCAACTAGAACGCATAAGTGTAGAAATGCGACGCTGTCGCGAACGCGAACGGGCAGGATGGCTGGGGCTCTCAAGCGTCGGTGCAGATGCAAAGAGGGGAATAGAAGAACGAATTGCAGAAAGGCAGATGCTGAAGAGAGGAGACGATCTGAAAGGTTGATCTACGCATTGACAAGAAAAAAAGGAGTGTCGGTTAGTGGAGGAGGAGGAGGGAGGGAGGGAGGGAGAGCGAGCGAGCGAGAGAGAGCGGAAGAGAGACAGGTGAGGGGGCCAAGAGGGAAAGGGAAAAGAGAGACAAATTGGAAAAAGGAGGAATGCTTTGACAGGTGTCTCTTTGTGTAGGAATGGGAAGAAAGTTAAGTTATGGTTCCTTAATTTTTAAAAAAGGACTCCTAACCTTCTTTATTTTTCTTTTTTCTACTTTTGAATATTATTATATTTTTTATTCTTCTAATTCTTACTTGACTTCAATGGTCATGAATTTCTTCTGCCTTAAAATCTTATAATATATTTTTTTTATTTTTCGAACTAGACTCACCACGCAGACGGATGGTTGCGTAGACACTGGGAAGGGGGGGAAAGCGAAACGGCTGCCAAAAGTCCAATCCAGCCCCGGCCCCCCCCGTGTGTAAGTGTTCCCCCCCCCCCTCCTACTCCTACTTCCTCCTTCCCCTTCACGGTTGATCTGCTACTAGTAGTAGACTGTCCGACTGCTACTACACACTGTCTGTCTACTCCCTCCCCTGCGCTCTCCTGCGCACACGCACTACAACCACATCTGTCACTTCCTTCAATCTTCCCTTCCTGAATTATTTAGTGGAGTCTTCTCCCACAGGCCGATCCGATATTCCACATCTATTAAATTCAGGAAAAGAAAAGATACTTATAAAAAGAAAGTCTACCAAATGGTTGAAATATCAACTACATGTGGATCATGTCAAACAAAGAAGATGGTCGGAAAAGGGAGAGGCGATAGAAGCAGGCAGAGCAAAAGCAATGTGCAGCCAGAGAAAAGAAAATAACAAATAAACGTGCAGCTCTGCCCAGATTGGAACCGGAATACAACGAGTCGGTGGGACATTCTGCTGCTACTACGGAGTACTACTGCCGCTCACCTACTATCAGGTAGGCAGACGCAGTTCCCAGGTACCAACAACCTTTTTCACTTCCCCCCAAGTCCCGGGCGCGACCATGAACTACTGCAAGTGTGCATGGTTGGGTGCGTCCCGCCAACCACCATCCGCAGCCGCGCAGCAACTCCCGCATCAGCTGTGTTACGAGGATCCGCTTGCTTGCTTGGTCCGGGCAGAAAAAAAAGGAAAGCAAGGTAGCTGATAGGACGGGCCAATACCTGGTGCAGCTGCCTCTGCTTCCTCCTACCAAGGACTACTGTGATACTCGGTATAACTGCTGAGAGGTATGCACATAACTCACTGAGTACAGCTAGGCATCCGGAGCACAGAGGAACTTGCATCCTCATCTGTGAGGGACAGGTACGGCAGCATATCAATCGCTGGGCCCTCAGTGGATCCCGTCGCGCACAAATGGCTTGGCTCACCGGCAACTCTTTGCTCCTGAATGGTCCTCGTTGGATCGCTGCAAGAGAACTATCGTTCGGAATAACCATGGAAAACACAGACCATTACGTCTTCTGTTATCGTTACGGCCGCCGAGGGTTGAAGTTTGGGGCTGAGAGAGAGGCCATGTGGAGCACGTCGAAGAAAATGCGGGATTTCGAGGCCACTATGATAATAAATATTATTTCTATTATACAGTCAGTTATCGCTTCTCTCATTTTGTGTCTGACCGACATGCTCGGCCGTGCAGTGAAGCGAAGGCTACTTCCATACGCACACGCACACAGCCAGCCTCCTGCTAGCTGTGCCTGGGGCGAAGGAAGTACGGAGACTAAAGGTAGCAACATCGGAGTTCCTAAATAGGTAGGTAAGTGCCAACCAGAGTTCGGAGATCGCCATGGCAAACGATGATTGGAGGACCAGCAACGCAGCTTTGAATCCCATGGATCCAGAAATGTTAGAGCTGAAACTGGAGGGCGGTTCCTGAAAGGGGGAAAAGGGTGCGGTTATCTCTGGACCAATACAGCCGAGGTTCTCAGTTCCGCATTGTGGGATTAATTGCAAAGGACAGAAGCGCATACCAAACCAATTTCTTCAACAAGATAACTCACTGATCTTGTGGGTACAAAAATTTCAGCACGATTCTGGATGCATATTTTTCAAATTTACCTCAGACAAAAAGAAAGGAGGTGGATCCTCTGAACTCTCGCACCCGACCACCCGAGAACTCCAAGTCGAAATGGCCCGGGGTTGCGTTGATGATCGTTGTGGAGCCGAAGCAATGACGATAATCCGTTGCCAAAATCTATTTCGCCGGTCGACACCCGAGACGAGACCAGATATTAATTTTGAGCAGATAAATGATGAATTTCAATCAAATATTATTACGATGAACACAATCCTTATATTGTCGAGACATGGTTTCGTTCTCAAACTCACGCACCATACCCAAAGGGGTAACATCACATCGTCACAGAATAGATAAGACACCGGCATAAATTGATGAACCAGTTTCACCATTTTAAACTTAATCCAACCAGTGCCCCTTAACTCCGGCTTCATAGGGCTCAGCGTAAGAAGAAAACCTCATGCATATTACCAAATCAAGTCCCGTATACTACTATCTATATAGGGAAAACAAGCCACCACTCACTCATCTCATCTCAGGCCGCCACCAAACACTAAGGTATGTACCCACCACCACCACCACCACCACCACCAAAGGCAAAAGAAATTTCATAAATCCAGTGGCTAGTACAGTAGGTAGACCAAACCCTGCAGCAATCAATGTGTAGGTTTTCATCATACATGCAGACGATCTAGACCACATATGGACAGCAACCTCAGCCTTCGCAGCCCAGCCCATCTTTACTTCTTAGAAAGAAAGACGGGAAGAAAAGATAAAGAAAAGAAAAGAAAAAAGAAATCAAAGAGAAAGTTCCAATAATGGTTCCTTGCATAGCCCTACTTCCCCGGACTTGCTTACCCGCATGATTGATGCAGTAGACCAACCAAGCCAAGCCCAAACCAACCAAGCATTTTACAGTAATTAGTTGGTTGCTTGAGGATTTCCTTCTTATTTTCACTTGATTTTTCCAACCCTATGCAGCCTGCCCTTGTAGCTTCAAAGGAAAAGAAAAGACAAAAAACTCGGTGATGTTCCGACCGATCTACTTCCTGTTATCTATACTGACTACGCTACGGAGTATTCATCACGGCTTGGGGAATCTCTTTTCGCCATTTGATTTTAACAATTTTTCCCTAGACTATTCTACCCTCTTCTATGGAGCAATGCCACTTACCTACGAAACCCCACCTTATTCATTATCAATTACTTACTATCTATCTAGAACCCCGTCCCGCAGTGGATGAACATTTGACACCTCTGACAGGGACGGAGAGAAAGACGGAGAGAGGGGCGGTGACTAAAACCAATTCGAACATGTAACTAGTTACATAATAATTCCTATGTGGATAAAATTAGAGGATAAACGTAACAAAATTAAACTTTTATCTAGCTGTTTTGCAGATATTTAGAGTAGATAATTATTACTTAGTAGATAAGTACTTGGAAGTTGAAGAAAGGGGTCGGTCGGTCGGTCGGTGATGAATGTGTGAGAGGTTGGTAGGCTGGGACGGAACAAGAGCGCCCGCAGCACCACACATACACACACACCGTAATAGTATACAGCAGGTATAGCCAGCCAGTCAGTAAGGCAGAGCAGTTGCATTGCATGTTCTGGACCTTGATCAGCCCACTGACTGACTGACTGACTGACTATCATCCAGTGTACGGGTATGGATAAATTATCCGTGTTATCCCTTATTCTAGAAATGATGTCTTTGATCAACATAGTAGACATATACAATCAGGAGAGAGGAAAGCCACTGAGTCAAGTTAAGACAAACTAGATAAGTACTAAATATACCCTCCTCCAAAATTGAATGCCATTGTGTCAGGGATTCTCTTTTCCTTTCTTTGGCATCCATGCAAGGCCAAGAAAAACCCAAAGTAAATAAAATAATACCAGCCAAACCCAATTCAACTCTAGCCTAGCCTGTTTCTTTTCTGTCTACGGGCTAGAACATCCAAATGCCGAATAAACCACCCGTAAACCTGCCACTCAGTAAAACAGCCTGGTTCTATGTTATTCTATGGAGTACGTACGTATTCTATTTATTTCCAGGGAGTGAGTGAGTTTCGAACTTTTCTGGTATAAATTTAGGTTTGACCTAGGCCTATCTAGACCTGAGCACTAGACTTTCCCCGACCGGCGGTCCGTGGGGACGGACGGTTGGATGGATGTGGTCTCGACCGCTCCCGGGGAGAATTATCATGTTATCTTTAGGTTTCAGGGTTAGGTGGTTTGTAGATTTGGACTATTTGTTGAGGTACAGGAGGGTGGTTGGATGGTTGGCTGATTGTCGATCAACTAGTAGATACTGTTACTTACGGTGCTGACTGCGTTGCACAAATAGCACATGGCTGGTCAGTTGTGGTGGCTCATCCATAACTAATCAAGGAATATAGTAATTCAACGACTCCTTCCTTATGGGGAACAAAAATCTATCTAAAGATAGAAATAGGAATGGAATACGGCCAAGCTTCCGTCGGCGTTAACGGGGGGCGCCGTCGGAAGGTACCTTTTTTTTTTTTTGTTTCTTCTGTACACCCCTAGACTAGTACCAGACTCCCAGATAAGCCCCCGAACATATGATGTTAGTCTCGTCGTTTTTCTTTGTCCCCATTAAACGTGTGTAACCACCACGCAAAGTGTCGCAAGCTAGGGGATTGGGATTGGCTGCCCTGAGAAGGTTCGCATCCGTGCAACATCCGCTTGGCTCCCGTCTCATCCATTATTCTTGTGTGCTGATGCATGCCTCCGTGGAGTCGGTGATTGGTTGAGGAAAATCACCGGTGAGCTTGTGAGTCTTCAGACTGCCACGCACGGAGTTGAAGGGTTCTTCGAGATCTGCGCTGGCATCGTTGGCTGCAGTGTCTGGAATGTGTGTCTGTTGTTGTTACACAAGGGGGTCAAAGGCCAAGAAAAAACCCGCTGCAGTTCAGGTACACCGCAGAGAGACAGTAAGCATGAAATATTACGTCCGATTGGTCTGTCTCATGCCCGTCTTCGCGTCATCAAATTACCCGTCGTTAGGAATCCTTTGTCGCCCATCGCGCCTCTCCACTCAATCGACAGCTGGCCCAGCACGGCGCGTCCGTCGCGTTTCATGTCCTTCTGCAGGGTCTCCAGCCCTTCCTGTTGGCCCTCTTCTTGCTCGACGAGGAATGCAACCTGCAAGACATCCCGCGGATGTAGAGTCGGTGGCCGCGGATCCGCTTGATCCGGTCCTTGTAGATCCCAATTGAGAGATACGGCCTTGAATGGCGGTTTCGGATTGAGCCTCGTTTGCTGTCAAAATTAGCATGTCGCCCAGGAGACGTCTCACTTTGGCTATGATTTGTGTTCGACGAACCTTGACCACCACAGGACCATCGCCTACGTTCTCTAGTTGTGCTTCCAGAGCAAACCGGAGCAGCCGGGTCTTGCCATATGGTCCGAGTGACTTGTTCTCGACTTCCAGGGGCGCCAGCTCTGAAGATTTGGTTCGAACACTCAAACAGGGCTGTGCCACGAACTGATAAAGCTTGCGGAAGGTTCTCACACGCCCGCTGGCTGCTTGCGCGTCCGACCCAATCAATGTCTCCGTGTAGCTGACGCTAACCGCCAGGATGTGATTCCCTTCCTCCTTGAGATCAAACCGTACTATTTTTTGTAGTGAATGGCCCTTCTGCACCCCGTCCTTCGAAGCCGTGTCTTCGGCCGGTTCTAGGTCTAATGCCGCTACCTGCGATGGTGTTTGCATCTCTGCCACTATACGAACTGATGTGACGACGCGCGACGTCTCCTCGTCTGGCAACTCATTGTTGGCGCTGAGAGTGCATGCAAACGTCTCACCAACATACGCAGATCCAAACGCCGGAGGTAGGGTTAACTTGTCGAACAGTCAGTGAGGTTATGACTAAAGCTGGACGGTCTTCGTACATTGGGAGTAAGAATGAACTGGTCGTCGACATTATCGGCGGGATAGCTGAGTGATGCTTTGCTTGAGATCTTCGTGTCTGCTGCCGGGAGGGGGTACTGATAGGATAAGGAAGGTCGCGATAGCCTTGCACGGTCAGGACTGAGCGGAGCCGTCGGGTCAAGTTCGGTGCTTACCGCAATACTGGACAATATCAGCCAAGGTACGGTAAGAAAAGCGTGTCCCAGCAAAGCGTACCTTTGAGAGAGACTGCATGTGGCTCTTTAGGGGCATCAGCGCCCGAGTGAGCGCGAGGGCGTGCCATGGAGGGATGTGATTGCGAGTTGAACCGGTGCCGGACGCGGCGTCATTCCGTCGTTATCAGCGCCGCACTAGCTTCAAGCGAACAAGCCAAATGAGGCAAACCGAGCAAACCTCCGCATTGGCCGGGATACGCGAACTATTGGATCATCCCTGGTCAAACTTGACTTGATAGCTCCGATTTCTTACTCTCATCAGACAAATGGAGACATCCGAACCAGCCTTGGGATCGTCAATGTGACATCTACAGTAGATCTTGATGCTAGGCAGGTCAATGATCACGCTTTCTCCCAGATCTGTCATTTTCTTTGGGGATTAGCCTGATTATGTCATGATCCGATCTGATTGCTTATCGATTAGGGGTCGTTTACTCCATACTACGGAAGCCGCCACTGCGACTATTCTTGTCTTGCTACACCTCCTTTCTCCCTTTGTCAAGCTCCTGGCCTAGAATAGCTTCTGAGTTCAGAATGGGAGTGACACGTACAACTCCTTCTCGCCAGCAGCATGCGAGCGCCTCCACGCCTTCGGACGCTCGAGCTACACGCTCAAGAGCTGTGGCAAGCACCCCCGCATCGTCCAGGAAGCGAAAAGCGACTGAACAGAATGTCACACCAAGCGCGTCATCAAAGAAGTCGCGTCGATTTGCTCCAGGCGGGCCTGCCAATGATACCACCGAGGTGATCGATTTGACTGGCGACACCCCCAGCCCTGTTAGAAGAAGAGCTCGAGCACCAGCATCATATGACGAGCCAACTCCTGAACGCCGAGCGAGAAGATTCCGCACCCACCCTCCCAGCACATATCTCGATAGAGCCGCCCGTGCATTATCCCAGCGGTATGCCGTATTTCGTGTTCGGACCCTATAGCAAGCTAATGTGTGCCCTGCAGGATGTTTGTTGTAGGACATAGTGTCACGGAAGTCGATGATGCGCCCGAGATATCTTTCGACATCGTCGGTACCACTGGCAACATCTATAGGACCACAATATGGAAGGTGCCATCTTGCAGCTGCCCAGATGCTCTAAAAGGGAATCA